GTTACGCATGCCGAACAGACCCAAGGGATGTGGCTAGGGTGGAAAGCAAAACTTGGATGTCGACACCGGATAAGTACGATACGGTGACGCATACGCCAGAAGGGATCACGCCGATCATGGGCAACTGGATGAGTCCAGAGAAGCTCGGCCAGGAGCTTGATGACCGTTTTCCTGGCTGCATGGCAGGTATAGGAAAGTGGGCAGAGTTTGGTGCAGATTAATAACTTGACATTGTTGAAGGCCGAACAATGTACGTCATTGCATTCAGCATGGGACCGATTGGCAGTAAGTTGTCAAAGATCGGTATTGAACTGACGGACAGCATTTACGTTGTGCTCTGCATGCGTTTGATGACTCGTGTGTCGCCAAAAATTTTTGAAGTACTGGGCGAGAACGACTTCGTGCGTTGCATCCACTCTCTTGGTGTTCCACGGCCAGTGAAGAGTATAAAACAATTTCTGTTAGCTTTTTGTTCAACGCGATAATAGCTTTCAACGCGCAGGGAAAATCGTCAACCAGTGGATCTGCAATCCAGAAAAGACCATCATTGCGCATCGTCCGACCCAGCGAGAGATCTGGTCTTTTGGTTCTGGATACGGTGGCAACAGCTTGTTGGGCAAAAAATGCTTTGCTCTGCGAATCGCTTCGAACATCGCCAGAGATGAGGGCTGGATGGCTGAACACATGTTGGTAAGCCGATTGGGTTGGCAGTTCCTTCCTTTGAGTTTTTTTTTCGGTACGACCTCAAAGTCAGTCATATGCAATACTTAACGAGTTGTCTGTCTTTGAATCGCGTTTTCACGGTTGTCTTTAAGATCACCAGTTTCACGAATCCTCAGGGAAAAGAGCGGTTTATCGCCGCCGCTTTTCCGTCCGCATGCGGCAAGACCAACATGGCGATGCTAAACCCTGCTCTAAAAGAATGGAAAGTGCAGTGCATAGGTTTGTCGTTGTTTTCACTAGAACGAGTCGACGTAACTTGATGTCGTATGTACAGGGGATGACATCGCTTGGATGCGTTTCCGCGAAGATGGACAGCTGGTTGGTATTAATCCGGAAGCTGGCTTCTTCGGTGTTGCGCCAGGAACATCGCACAAGACGAACCCTACGGCCATGGATACGTGCATGAAGAATTCCATTTTCACGAACGTAGCAACGACAGCTGATGGTGGTATATTTTGGGAGGGTCTAGAAGACGAGTTGCCCGATAAGGTAGCGGTGATATTATGCCATGGTCGTTCAACAAATTATACTCGTAGAATGTGCAAATGAGAAACTGGCTGAACGAACCGTGGAAAATCGGAATGCCAGGAAAGGCGGCGCATCCGAATTCTCGCTTTACAACTCCGGCTAATCAGTGTCCGATCATGCATCCGAAATGGGAAGACACTGCTGGAGTGCCGATCGACGCGATAATTTTCGGTGGTCGCCGTCCGGAAGGTGAGGATTGTTGAAAGTTGCCACACAGAGCTATGGCCATGAGTTCGTGTATAGGTGTACCGTTGGTGTTCGAAACATTCAACTGGATACACGGAATTTTCACTGGTGCTTGCCTGAAATCCGAAGCAACCGCTGCTGCTGAGCATGCTGCTGGTAATAGTTATATAATGTTACGCAGCTGGTAATATTACAGCACATGCTGTCAAGTATTGTCGTTTTGAGTCATTTTCTTTTACTCTAACGCTTATAACTGTCTCTTATTTACTCTCTTACTATAGGATAGAAGTTGTTACATGAATTTCATAGAAGAGTTACTCAGTAATGTCGTTTTCGAACGCTGTGCATGCTACGCTACGATAATGGAAAATATGAAGGATGTTATTTGTATGGAAAAGATTGCCATATACTTTGCAAACTTACAAAGTCAATGTTAGTTAAATATTAGTATAGTTTAAGAACTTATGTTGACATCGTCCTAAAGCGATTGTAAGTGCCGGCTAACTTTTCGATTGATTGCCCCATCGATCGGCATCATGGTTAAAAAGAATTTAGAAAGTTTAAAAGCAGTTCAAGCCGAACTTCGTTTATTTTAAAGCAGTTAACAGTTGATTGAGCCCTGTTTTTTGTTTACGGAGACTGTAGATTCCCTATATTTAGATTCCTTTTATGTCCTTAATTGTTCTGGATGTATTCTTTAGAGTGAAAGTTAAGTGAGAATGGAATGCAAGTCTTTTATTGTTCTGAGCAGCTTGAACCTGAGGGGACTGTGCTTAATTCGTATCGCTGGCAGCAGTTGGTGGAACATTTTATCACATAATATATAGATCGTCTGCGCAACAAATTTTTAACCTCCAGTCCTGATAGCGGTGTCCTCTATCGGATATTCGGAGCAATCTATGCGAAGCATTTGGAGTGTTATAATTCAGCGATTTGTCTGTAACGTGTCATTTCAAATGTTCTTTACTTAGCATATATCAGTGACATTCGTTTTATTAGTTTACCGTCTTCAATTGTTTCATAAGTACTTTAAGAAACAATATAATAAGCAAAGTATTGAACTTGAGGATATCTAGATGGATAGCAAAACTAAGTCAAACCAATGCCTGCGAGGCTGATCTTGATATGAAAGTATGAAATAAAATTGTTCAGCCTTATTAGGACTGACGCTAATCACTGACTGCTTCTGGAAACGAACGCTAAGATCTACCTGAAAGGATGTCGCTACTGTCTGTTGAGCTCCTTACTTATCGTGCGCAATGTATTGAAGACGCAACAAAGGCGATCTGACAGTCTTCTCCATTTTGCATCTTCCCAGAACACATTTAGCAACTCAGCATAAAAGATTTTAACGATAATAGTTACCTATGCTGATTTACCTCATGGGATATTGTGTTAATCGGGTACTTTGTTAAACCTCATCACAAATTCGGCAAATAGCTAAGTAAGAACAGGGGATGTCACCGTCACTGTCACCCTTTCAGGGGATGTCACCCTAAGTAGTTCTTACATTGTTTCCCATTCACTGGAATTCCGTGATAATATTTTGCGAGTAAATGTTGCTTAGGTGCTTTCCTCTTAGTTAATGTATTTTCACAGTTAAGGCCATTTGGTTTTGGTTGCGCAAGCGAAGCAAGCGTTGGAAAGCAATTTCGTAACTTCTGTTAACTGAAAATGCGTCATCCTTACATAAAATTTCAGTTAGTCGCGGCGTTTGCCATCAATACTGCTAATGTAGCGCTGAAGTATAAGCTAGATAATAAGTGCATTTCACTTAATAGTGATCAAGCGTTGTTTTTTTATTAAAGTAGTTAGTAATTACTAAATATGTGAAATTATAGTAGGTGGCGTCTTCCAAAGTAGTTTCAGGTGAAACGTGATATTGTGAGGACTTAAATTTCGTACATGATTTATATTGATAGTGATCTACTTTGACTTATAGTTAAATAGATTAAAGAGAGATTGATGAGTGCGTAATATTCCAGTCTGGAGCAAGATCCGCGATGATCCTGCATTTCATTGTGATGAACCACTTGAAGGAAGGACCCAACGTGGTGTATTAATCCCCCATTTGAATGACAAGCCTTATCGGAACCAGATTCTGAGACAGACAGGGTTTTACAACTAGTTTTTTATTTTAACCATAAGTTAATCAAGGACATTTATTTGTTGAACAAATTACTTATGAAATTTAAGGTCAAACCAGTGCCTCGTTCCGTTTAAAACTTCTTTGGAAAACATTGTATTCTTTAATAAGTACAATGGGCACTTCTAGAAATGACTAATTGTCCTAAAACTGATACAGTTGTAGCTGTCTTAGACTTTTCTAGGAAAAGTAATCATGCACGATCCAATGGCCATGCGCCCATTCATGGGCTATAATTTTGGCCGATACATGCAGCACTGGATAAATCTTGGAAAACCGCCGCACAAGGTTTAAAGAGAATATCTTCGATTCAGAACGTTTAAGTGTAGTAACGTTTCCTAAAAATAGGTGCCAAAAATATTCCATGTCAATTGGTTCCGAGTTAACAAACAAGGAAAATACCTGTGGCCCGGGTACGGCGATAATATTCGAGTTGTTGATTGGATTCTGCGTCGTTTGGATAACGAAGATGTGGCAGTGGAATCCCCGATTGGCTTATTGCCAAAGAAAGGTTATTATAAAAAAACTAGTGTTAGCGTTTATTTACCTCTTGATGTTTAGGCAGTATAAACTTGGAAGGTTTGAATTCGGTGGACTGGGATGAATTGTTCTCAGTGCCGAAATCATATTGGGAGGAAGATGCTAAAGAAGTTAGAAAGTTTTTCGACGAACAAGTGAGGATTTTAGTTCTAAACAAAAACGTTAAAAATAAAATCATAAAATTCACAGATCGGCTCGGACTGTCCCGCTGAAATTCGTGCTGAACTGGATGCGCAGGAACAGCGTATCAAAGCAATGCATTAAAGAAATATAATAAAGTCGTTGTGATAGTTGAGTGAAGTGATTTCTGTTTACTATGCCAATAGAAGTTGATTTTCCTGTGTTCTGCAGTTAAAAGATTAATCTGAAATATTGTAAAAGCTATATATTGAAGCTATATATTTTTTGCTAAAATTTTGTCATTTTTTCTTGCATAAGTGTCCTTCTTGGTCGAAAATAAATTACCCATGGCGGCGAACCTTTGAAAGGTTATGTTAATGACTGCAGCACTGATCATCATGCACACTAGTGTTTCATCAAGACACTCCAAAATGTGCTTACACTAACGGCCTTTAGCTTTCAGTGCTAGCCTGCATTTTGCAAGAGCGAGGAAAGTCCTAACTCTGAATTTGCGATTGTGCAGAATGACATTCGTCAATGGTCATTATGACAAAATCAACAAACCATTGTGTTACGGCCTATCATTTTAACCATCGAATGCAACGGTTCTTGAGCGTAATATTTTGTGAATACGTTCGCGGAGTGCAATTGGTATCTGATAATCTGATACGCCTTTATTTCAGTTAAACAATCATGCGGCACCGGTCGTTATCAGTGAAATTCAAGTCATGGTTCAAAGTTTGCTCGAGGACACTACATACGAAACAGCAACCATTACACTACACACCATAAATTGGATACGCAGCTGAACGCTGTGATATGGACTATAGTAACAGTTAGATGCAACCTGACAACGCCGCTGATTGTCCTCTCTTATGGAACATCGCCCCTCCTCCCAGAAGCAGTTCTTAATTTAGGATGCCACGTCTGTTAACCTATTTTTAACCTACAACAGAATATATGGTCTTCCCTTTAGTATATAGGAAGGTGACAGATGTGCATGCCTCATGCACAAACAAAAATTCCAACACTCGTCCAACTGCGAATGCTGAATGGGTGACTAGACAGTGGATCCAATTATCACCACAAGACTGGAATATCGCTTTTTTAACTAAGCGAACACTTGTACTTTATTATGAAACTGACCTATTTATTTTTGTTGGGAGTGGCACATTATTTATCAACAGGCTCACGTCCTTCGACTAGTCAAATAAGTTTGTGCAAAGTAGCAAACTACTCAACTGCTACCCACGACATGTGTAAGCTTGTGGTCAGGGAACTTCGGCTAAAGATCTAAAAAATTCTGATCTTTGTTGTTCATATGACAGTATCGCTGCTCTGTCAGTCGATTTCAGTTATTCTACGTTTACATAACGAGTGATGTAACGGCATACCGAAGCACAACTATGGAATCTGAAAGGTGCAACAGCGAAGCTATGCCTAACAAGTACCACGTATAACAAACGTTTATTACGCTGATAAAGTCATTCTTATTAAACAATAGGACGATAATCAATGTAAAAACTTAAGCATAACGGTTTTGTACATTAATATCAGTCACCCAGACTATCCAACTGTGGAGTAAAACGTGCAAATATTATTCAGTAAATATAGGGCCTTTGTACGAAAAAGTTTCCAAGTAATCGATCACGGTGGATTCAGATGCGCTGAGATGTCTATAAGATTTTGCTGTGCTTTGAATAAAGTTGATAAGTTGTAAATTTTGTTCTGTTTCGGCCTGATAACCATTAAAATCAATGATTTCGTTCAGCCGTCCAGAAGCCACAGTCTATAGGTGATGATCGCAATTTAGTGCTAAATCGCGCACTTCCAGGTGAATGGAGGAGTCCAGCAAACCTACAATTGCGGAAATAATTACAACCATAAGCGGGCATCAGAATGAAAACTCGATCGATCAAAGAAACAAAGAAAAACAATCGATAAAAGCATGCAAACTTCAGAAACACCAGAAAACAACTAAGCATTTTTAAGATATCTATCCAAACAAAGTTTTCCCAAGCAATATTACGGTGCAATAACAAATTCATGCATTCATTTTCACAGACCGCAATTATCGGACCGCTGGAATGGCAGCATCAAGAGGTTTGTCCAAAAGTCCACTCGCTGGTAATCGAGCAAGCTGCAAGGCGTAGAATACGGGCGTGAAAGTGTCAGATGTTCAATATGTAACAGCCATGTGGACTTTGGCTCTTTCCTCAGCCGCATACTATGCAGCTTTGCGAAGGAAGTCATTAAAGTCCCCCTACTGCATCCGATCGCAACTGAGATGTCTCGATTTACAGAGGAAACCCAGCGTTCCGAGGATTTTCGAACTTTCTCATGTCAGCATTCCCTTTAAAAAAATATTTCTGCCGTTTGTATCCAGAATCACGCTCTTCTTCACACTATCCAGTACTCAGTACCAAAATTTAGTGCCGGCCTAGAGACAGGTAAACCTGAAGTCGATATCTTCGCATTATTGCTCGCTTTTACCATTACCACATCTTTTACCCGTTTAATTGATCAAAGACTAGTTCACCACCCTCACGCATGAATGATTCACACATGTTTCCACATCCTATCTGTCTTCTTTCGTGAAGGCTATCCAAAACACGTGAACGTAACTCCTTTAACCTGCATCAGCTGAACTCCTGCAGGTCGCAGAAAGTTACTGTACTTGAGGGAAAAAATTGATTTAGTCACGCGATTGTCACTCTGGCCTCATCACATACAGCGGAAAACCTACCATATACAAGTGGAAAGCTAAAACGAGACGAAACGAACAAGACGAAATCATCTACAAACCGCAAGTGGCTCAAGCGAACATCCCGTGCCGAGACTGCCTCTGATGATTCACACCATCAAAATTTTGAGCTATTGAGATCAATACGTACTTTAATATGCATCGACTTCCTAACTTTAACTTGTACAACGACTTCTGAGCAGCCGAATAGGGAACTGATGGTTAACAGTAGCTGATCATTCACCTCATATCCTTGCAATGTTCCCAACAGCACTGATCATGGCTACCTGACACAAGTCTATTGGATGCTTATCAAGCAGATATATGCGTTGTTCGCATTCGCACAGCAATGTCGTAAGCCAGGGAAGTGTGAAGACTGCTGCGCCACAACCGTGCAAAAGTCGCACTTGCTCTATCATGGTTCAGTACCTTTCTACTAACAGTGTGAGACTTAAGTGATCAGAGATTACAAGTGACTGACGCACTCCAAATAATCGTTTTTTCATCATGGGGACAGTTGCTCCAGACTGAGATTGCTTCAATACCATTAGAGAATCACAGGTAGCCTGGAAAACACAAGTCAGACAAAGAACTTCAAGATTTCATCTTTTCCGCAACCTTTCCATTTCTGACTAGTCTATTTTATACTACATTTCTGCAGGACTGAAACCACTTCAATTCTTGTTACAGAAAGCGCTTTGCGAGCATAATCGACATTCGCAGAGAACAAAATGAAAAAAGTAAGAACACTGTGGTTTATAGTCACATCTACCTCAAAACACATGAAACATCGGCTAAACTTCAGTTGCCGCAACCCCGTTAGCCATCGCTTTAAAATTCATAACAATGCCTTAATGATAATGTAACGGCTATGCAGAACAGATTCAACTGCAATTCGCCTAATCGTTTAATGTGTGGATGCGAGGAAGCCTTTATTAAGGCCACGACTTCGCCTGCTGCACAGGCTATTTTTTTATTTGAATCAATATGAGCTGCGGAAGACTAAGAACTGAGCCAGACGATTATCAGCAAAGTCAAAAATGATCACAACCAAATAACAGCATATTGCAACATCTAGTTATTTACCGAGTTTTCCGAAAGCTGCATAACCTTGCTTAGCGTGTTAACCATCTGAAGTGCGTCCTCTGTGTTATCGCCTTCCTCGCAGTATTGAACAAGAATCACCAGCGGAAGCGAATCGCTTTCACTGAAAAAACAAAGTATAAAGCTAAATAAATTATATCGGACAGCTACCGTACCATCGAGATAAAAATGCTTTTGTAATACCGCTTCCGGAAAGAATATACTCTGACTTTCCGGGCTCAATTTCAGACTCATGCTTCAACATTTGCTTGGCGCCAGCTTCAACAAGTCTGGTGACGTACAGTGGGCTGGCCGAAGTCGTGGCAATGAACCGCTGTGGACTTCTAAAACAACGAATTAAGCGCATACTCAAGAGTAGAGAAACTTGAACATTTCTGAAAACAAATTTTCATACATAGCGACAACAGTGATTGAATTCAGCTGCACTTCAGTCGACGCTAATTATCCAACGACGACACATTTTCAAATAAATGCTTCATATGCACTTTTAATATTAATGTCAATCGGTAGAATTAAGTTGAATCCAAAATCAACGGTCCATGCAGGCATCGTTCAAAAGACGCATTTATGTTATGCCAACATGGCAAAGTCACTGAGCCGCTGGTTTAGAGTAAA